GAGGGGAGCTAATATTTCTGTCAAGCACAGAGCTCCAAATAAAAGTTACATGATCTTGCTAGTACTTACGGAGTCACAATTTCAATTGGATGATACAATGGTTATAAAAGGTTGTTTTATCAATCATTAAGTTTTTGAAATTTGAGCATACTCGACAGTTGGAAAATGTTCAAAATTTGGAAGTAAGATTCTTTGGTTACTGGCATGAGATACAGATTTGTAACGTTTATGTGCAAGTAACTTTGGAATTTCTAAAAATTCCAGGCAAGGAATTGAGCTTATAAAACATAAATGATCTATGTTTCTTGCAAAACGTAATTGAGCCATGTTTCTTAGGGTATACAAATTCCCCAAAGCAAAACAATTATCCCCTATCGCATACCTAAGGAACGTTTCTTTGCAAAAAAGAACGATTACTGACACAATCCAGAGAATTATGGAGTAACAAACAATTATTACTTCTCACTATGCAACAACAAAAGCGAATTGTCCTGTGGCATTCTGCAAATAGAAATTCATGGTTAGGTATCCAAAGAATGCGTCGCTCTTTTTTCTAGCTAAGAGGAGAGAAGTAAGTTGTTTATCCATTCTTTTGTCCAAGTCTTCACCAAGAACTCCTTACAGATAAAACTAGTCATTTGGGCGGCGATATTTGTTTTATGTAACATCAGAAAGTATCTAAAGTTTGGAAAGACGAAGAAAGTGGAGAAAGAATATAAAAAAATGGGACTTTTGATATCTTCCACAAAGTTGCCTTATCTATATACTGAAGTTTATGTCTTATCTTTTGAATATACCTTTTGCGGGATATAAATAAAAGAAAATGGTATAAAAGTTTTGAAAGTAAGCTGCATGCATATGAAATGCATTGAAATAAATTTGCGGTGGCTTTAAATTTGTTTGATATGATTTTTCTTCCTTTCCTTTTATTTCTTCTTTTAGGAAAAATTAAATCAGGCATAAGACTTTCGTTTCTGATCCTTTCACAAATTGATTTATTTGAATCTAACAAACTCAGCCTCCTTGACATAATTTTGAAAAAAAAAAACTTTTGAGAAAGTTTTAGGAAAAGCTTTGGTAAACTCTGAATCTGAAAGAAAGGAAAGTAATCTCGAGATAAATATAGCACTATACATACAACAATATCTGAAACTAAAAGATATCTGTTTTTTTAATATATCAATATCTGATTCCTTTGATTTTCAGCAAGAAAAAAATACTTCATAAGCTCGTAGAAACTAAAATTCAATTCTACGCATATTTGTTTTATGTAATAAATTAAATTTCAAAATATTAAAGAAAGTTAAAACAAAAACTGGAATTCTGATCTATGTAATTTTCTTAATTCTCTTCTCTAATTCCTAATTTCTTATTTAAATAGAATATTTTTGCTGAGTATAGATGAAATGAGAAAGAAATAGAAAAGTTTTGACAGTAAGGCGTGTGTAAATAAGTAAATAGAAATTACTTTCCGATGGTTTTAAATTTAGTGGAAGGATTTTCCCCTATGTTTATTTTTTTACGAAAGCTAAATCAGACTTCTATATCTTTATGTAATCTGCTCTCAATTTTTTTTTTCCTCGACGGTGAATATTTTCAACCTTCTTGTGATTTGGAAGAAGCTGATTCCGAAAAGTTGTCAGAGTTTATTATTAAACTTATTATAGAATTCGGAAAGATAATATTTCTTAAAAAAAATAAATGATATAGAAAATCTACAATGTTGTCTTGTATGAAATAGGTATCCCGGTTGAATAGCATAATGACGATCTTACTTCATATATCTGTTTTTAAGGTTAGTTTTTGTTTATCGTACCGTTAAGTCTCATTGAGGTGAGTACACGATGCCGTTCAATTTTTGCCCAGTTTTCTCATTCGTTGAGACAACTAAGCATCATTCCCCGTTCAATATGACCAAAACTTTAAAATACAGTCGTTGCATGTATTACTGTGGCGGGTGTACTATAATTAAACTGGCGATTTTTTAAAAATTATAACAAGATAACAGTTAAATTTTAAAAAAAAAAATCAATTATTGTCTTTATTTTATGTGACTAGGCATATGTTTCATTTCCTTGGGTATTCTTTTTTCGTTGAAAAGTTTTAGGGTAGATGGCGCTGCAAATAGTACACCAGTTACATCAAGTTTTTGAAATCTTTTGAGCAATGAAAATCACATTACTATATATCGATAATAGCTCATTTGTATATGATAATCATTGATTGAAATTTAAACACATCAAAACGCCACTAACTAAATTTGACATTAAAATCAGTAACTCTGGAACAAAAAATGTAAGCCTTCTCATTCAAATTATTACAAAAAATATTAATTTCTAGCCTTTGTTTTCTGTTAAACATTTGTGGAAATTTTTTTTGTCTAATATTGGAAATGTTTCACAAAGTAAGAAGTCTGGCTGTTATTGAATTTTTCATATATTCAATTTTAGTCTAATTTCATACACCCTGTATTCATACCCTACACAAAAATTATTATCTAATATAATGCAACAAATAATAAATGTGAGGTGTAAATACATATCGATTATTTTGATGAATTTAAACGAGGAAAAAAAAATTATATATATATAAATATATATAAATATATTTATATATATTTAATCTTTTGTTTTCATATTTTGTAATCTGGCAATCTTTCTGCGAAAAGTTTTTTAAATCATTCTTGAAAAATAT